TGGAATATGATCATCTAAAATCTAAGTTAAATGTTGGGAACAGAAGTTTGGGAACTTACTGGAAATCAAGTTTTGGCTTCCTGTGAACCACACCAGTTTGTAACAGTGAACAAAGGGCCTTAGAACAAAGTAAAGGTTTTGTATTGTAAGCTATTTTCCTATCTCTAGTTGAAAAACATTTGAACATTTTATCAACTTCAGCAGTCTTTCACATGGCTTTTTCATTCTCCTCTCAGTTTAAATTGTAAATATGAAGATTTTTAAATATGTAGTGTGTGTTTACAACATATAAATACCATCTTATCTCCTGGTTTAGTCCCTGGCGAGGAAAGAGCTGGCAGTTTAATAATAAAGTGACTGAAGGACATTTGGGATGTGTGTCCTCTGATGATGACTGCTGGACAAACACAACAGGAGCAATTGCAGACGAAGTAGCTGAGGGAGAAGACGGGAGATGAGGACACGCTCACCACTGCAGAGACTTGGTGAGCACTAACAGGGGAGGCAGAGGCAGGTCACAATCCCGCCCCTCATGCCACAGTATGCTGCTTTTTTTTTTTTTTTTGAGGCAGGGTCTTGGCTCACTACAGCCCTCGCCTTCCAGGTTCAAGCGATTCTCATGATTCAGCCTCCCGAGCAGCTGGGATTACAAGCACACGCCACCATGCTTGGCTAATTTTTGTATTTTTGTAGAGATGAGGTTTTGTCATGTTAGCCAGGCTGGTCTCGAATTCCCGACCTCAGGTGATCCGCCTGCCTTGGTCCCCCCAAAGTGCTGGATGACAGGCATGGGCCACTACGCCCGGCCCCTCAAAGTGCTGGATGACAGTCGTGAGCCACCGTGCCCGGCCCCTCATCCCACAAGGTGCTTCTGGTCATTCTTGTTCCACTGAGGAGCAGGGAGGAAAATAATGTATGATGAAGAACAGCTGAATTTGTGTGCTAGTGGCAGAAAAGTAATGAGAGATTTATTTTAGAGAAAAACATCAACAGAACTTGATGACAGGGAGTAGGAAGGAGACAATATGTGACGAGCTCAGTGTGCCACTTACAGAGGAAGTTGAAGACAATTTTCAAACCTGGGTGACTAATGGTTAGGTTTTGGGAAA